CTAGGACGAAAGATGTTCTCCAAAATCCAACTCATGTTCAGATAACCAATGCACCTACGATCTCCACTAAGGGGTTGGTAGTGGAACATAAGGTTATTATGTATCCGACTTGATGCATTTTAGAATAATTGTTGGCTAGACAGATTGGTTGAACACTTCAACTTCAGTTTTATTTGGGTAAGTTCTCATGTATCATCAACTATAGAATTTAATTTCTCTTCCTTCTTTTATTCTCTTTAAATAAGTTGGTTGATTTAGTGAATTTTGCATGAGCAGCTGTAGCACATCCGAAACAGGACAGATAAGTCAAACGGAAAGAACACTTGATGAGATTATGGGATTGGGCAGACAAATTATATCCGTCATTTCCCAAATTTCATCACAAGGGATTGCACCAAATTCCTTTGGACATTGTCTAGCTGGTGGTGATGGAGGTGGGATTTTGGCCTTTGGCACACCAGTCATGCCCGATCTAGTCTTCACTCCACTTGTGAAGTCAATGTAAGTTTTTATTTTCTTTATATTTATTTATTAATGTGAGATGGCCTAATTTTATGAGACCGTGAGATGCAATCCTAGATACACATTTAGTAGATAAAACGAAAACATTTTTAAAATAAAAAAGAATTGAGAATTTTCGAAATAACAATTTTCCAATACTATGTTCGAAATATATTTTTTCCAAAAAAAAATACCACAATAAATAAATAAAATACATTTTTTTACATGTTCTAGTAGAATATTAGAATATTCTACATATCTGGCAAATATTCTAACATTCTAAAGATCACATTAGAATATTTATAGTGTAATATTCTATTAGAATATTTCACGTGTTTTAAAAATAAAACGGGATTTTTTTTTTAATTTTATTTAGTTATTTTTTCAGATAACTCAATTTCCAAAAATTATAATTAAAAAAAGAGTTTTTGGATTTTTCCTTTTGTTTTGCATTTTAAAATTATTTTTAGATTTGGTCTCATAAAATTAACATTGTCTTAACTAAACCTGAACTATATATATATATATATATATATATATATATATATATATATATATATATATATATATATATGTTTGGATTCAAAAATATATTGTGTCTAGTTGTAATGTTTAGCGTATTTTCTTAATTCCGAACTTTCGACTTAGGATTCTTTCATATGCTTATTTAACAATTATATATAGGAGCGTTAGTTAGTAGAACGGATAGTTTTTGATACAGAATAATTCCACACAACTTCTTGGAATGAATTTTTCATTCTTTCCATTAATGCAAACATATCTTATTACTTCTTTGTGTTTCTATAAACCTATATAATCTTTTGATAATGTTTACATTTTACAATTTGTCGCTCCTATAATTGTTGACAATATATATTGACAAAGATATATATATATATATATATATATATATATATATATATATATATATATATATATATATATATATATATATATCTGAGTAATATTTTAAAGAAATAAAATCGTAATTAAATATAGTAACTATATAAATGAGAAATGTAACTACAAAAAAGTGTAATTATAATATATCATGTAAGTTCAAACCGTGGGGCCACAACCCAATTTAGTTGAAAGAGCCCTAGTTCTATTTTTAGGATGAATATCTCAATCAGTATTTTGTAATGAAATTGATTTCATCATTGTTTACAGTTGGTTGATAGTTTTCTTCTCCATGTATATATATTTCCCCTGTAATGAAATGCACCACATGATGTTTCATTCCAACAATATTACTTATCTCTTATACGATTTTTCATTCCAACACTATTACTTTTCTCTTATATTTCTGTACGACCAATGGTTTCTTCGACAGTGTTGTGTCTAGTGTTGCTGCAGGCCGTTGGTGCTCTTGGGTTTCCGGCGACTCTGAAGCTGGAAAGATCGTTTCCCACCAACCATGGCGTTGAGTTGAAGCAACTCACGGAAAGAGATGGTTTAAGACACCATAGAATACTACACAAGTATGCTGATCCAAATGTGGTTGTTGGATTTGAAGTATATGGAACCTATGATCCTTTTGATGCTGGGTACGTACACCAACTTTTGTTGAGTATTTAACCATATCATAGTAAACATAAAACTTATTTACAATACATGGTAGTTTCAAATATATTTACCAAAAACAGTGAATTAGTTCCGAACCAATATTTTTTAATTTTTATATTACAAAAGTAAGTAAAGAAACTAGACCGCCGGTCCCTTCATCTTCCTCCTATTCCGTCGTCGTCTTAAGTTTTCTTTATCGCCGGAGTATTCATCATTTTTGTTGTTAAACTGGACCACCAATCCTTGAATCGCCTTCTTACTTGATTACTACTAATCGGTGCATAAAAAACAAGAAGTCACAGGAGACCCAGAGATACCATCATCGCCTGCATCTAATGGGTTACAATACAAAATGAAACTTGTTCTTTTTATTTTTTTTAATTGGAATATGACGTCTATTAATCATTTAATCATGACAGTTTTGAGATGTTTACCGAAGGAATGTTCTTTGTAGAAATCCTAAAACTACTTGTATGGGAATTATAGAATTGCAAATTAAGAGATGGATGTTTCTTCTTGTTATGCTAATCCTAATGTCTTCCTAGATCTTCCATTGATGCAACCGCTAGTGTTTTTGTTTAGCGTTTTCAGTTATAAATATTCTTCAATTGTTATTTCTTTATTAGAGTTTTGCTGTCGGGGGTATTTTGGGAAAAACTATCATATTTGATGTTCTTGGTAATTGTTTTTTAAATTCTAGCTCATGTTTCGTTTTATAGTTTTTGATGAACAAAGACCTGCACTTGTTCAATACTTGCGTATGTTTTAGTTATACTTGAAAGACTTTGTGAACAAGTCAATCTTTCCCGTTCTTAGCCACTTGTTCTTCAATTCCTTAACATGTTGTAATTTGGTTAACTTGTATCTTGTACTACACAAAAATAAAGCTAGGATTCCCTGCAAAAGAATACTATTTAGTGATTGATACAGGAAGCGAATTGTTGTGGGTCGGTTGCAAACCCTGTCAATCTTGCCCTACATCATCCACACTACAAGTATGTTCTGATCATTTCTTATAAGGTGTGACTTTTTCAATTAACTAGTATTGGTACTTTATATATGATTTCTTTCTTTGTACAGATTCCTATTACTATCTATGATCCAGCAAACTCGTCAACATCTTCTGCTATCTTATGCTAGGACGAAAGATGTTCTCCAAAATCCAACTCATGTTCAGATAACCAATGCACCTACGATCTCCACTAAGGGGTTGGTAGTGGAACATAAGGTTATTATGTATCCGACTTGATGCATTTTAGAATAATTGTTGGCTAGACAGATTGGTTGAACACTTCAACTTCAGTTTTATTTGGGTAAGTTCTCATGTATCATCAACTATAGAATTTAATTTCTCTTCCTTCTTTTATTCTCTTTAAATAAGTTGGTTGATTTAGTGAATTTTGCATGAGCAGCTGTAGCACATCCGAAACAGGACAGATAAGTCAAACGGAAAGAACACTTGATGAGATTATGGGATTGGGCAGACAAATTATATCCGTCATTTCCCAAATTTCATCACAAGGGATTGCACCAAATTCCTTTGGACATTGTCTAGCTGGTGGTGATGGAGGTGGGATTTTGGCCTTTGGCACACCAGTCATGCCCGATCTAGTCTTCACTCCACTTGTGAAGTCAATGTAAGTTTTTATTTTCTTTATATTTATTTATTAATGTGAGATGGCCTAATTTTATGAGACCGTGAGATGCAATCCTAGATACACATTTAGTAGATAAAACGAAAACATTTTTAAAATAAAAAAGAATTGAGAATTTTCGAAATAACAATTTTCCAATACTATGTTCGAAATATATTTCTTCCAAAAAAAATACCACAATAAATAAATAAAATACATTTTTTTACATGTTCTAGTAGAATATTAGAATATTCTACATATCTGGCAAATATTCTAACATTCTAAAGATCACATTAGAATATTTATAGTGTAATATTCTATTAGAATATTTCACGTGTTTTAAAAATAAAACGGGATTTTTTTTTTAATTTTATTTAGTTATTTTTTCAGATAACTCAATTTCCAAAAATTATAATTAAAAAAAGAGTTTTTGGATTTTTCCTTTTGTTTTGCATTTTAAAATTATTTTTAGATTTGGTCTCATAAAATTAACATTGTCTTAACTAAACCTGAACTATATATATATATATATATATATATATATATATATATATATATATATATATATATATGTTTGGATTCAAAAATATATTGTGTCTAGTTGTAATGTTTAGCGTATTTTCTTAATTCCGAACTTTCGACTTAGGATTCTTTCATATGCTTATTTAACAATTATATATAGGAGCGTTAGTTAGTAGAACGGATAGTTTTTGATACAGAATAATTCCACACAACTTCTTGGAATGAATTTTTCATTCTTTCCATTAATGCAAACATATCTTATTACTTCTTTGTGTTTCTATAAACCTATATAATCTTTTGATAATGTTTACATTTTACAATTTGTCGCTCCTATAATTGTTGACAATATATATTGACAAAGATATATATATATATATATATATATATATATATATATATATATATATATATATATATATGAGTAATATTTTAAAGAAATAAAATCGTAATTAAATATAGTAACTATATAAATGAGAAATGTAACTACAAAAAAGTGTAATTATAATATATCATGTAAGTTCAAACCGTGGGGCCACAACCCAATTTAGTTGAAAGAGCCCTAGTTCTATTTTTAGGATGAATATCTCAATCAGTATTTTGTAATGAAATTGATTTCATCATTGTTTACAGTTGGTTGATAGTTTTCTTCTCCATGTATATATATTTCCCCTGTAATGAAATGCACCACATGATGTTTCATTCCAACAATATTACTTATCTCTTATACGATTTTTCATTCCAACACTATTACTTTTCTCTTATATTTCTGTACGACCAATGGTTTCTTCGACAGTGTTGTGTCTAGTGTTGCTGCAGGCCGTTGGTGCTCTTGGGTTTCCGGCGACTCTGAAGCTGGAAAGATCGTTTCCCACCAACCATGGCGTTGAGTTGAAGCAACTCACGGAAAGAGATGGTTTAAGACACCATAGAATACTACACAAGTATGCTGATCCAAATGTGGTTGTTGGATTTGAAGTATATGGAACCTATGATCCTTTTGATGCTGGGTACGTACACCAACTTTTGTTGAGTATTTAACCATATCATAGTAAACATAAAACTTATTTACAATACATGGTAGTTTCAAATATATTTACCCAAAAACAGTGAATTAGTTCCGAACCAATATTTTTTAATTTTTATATTACAAAAGTAAGTAAAGAAACTAGACCGCCGGTCCCTTCATCTTCCTCCTATTCCGTCGTCGTCTTAAGTTTTCTTTATCGCCGGAGTATTCATCATTTTTGTTGTTAAACTGGACCACCAATCCTTGAATCGCCTTCTTACTTGATTACTACTAATCGGTGCATAAAAAACAAGAAGTCACAGGAGACCCAGAGATACCATCATCGCCTGCATCTAATGGGTTACAATACAAAATGAAACTTGTTCTTTTTATTTTTTTTAATTGGAATATGACGTCTATTAATCATTTAATCATGACAGTTTTGAGATGTTTACCGAAGGAATGTTCTTTGTAGAAATCCTAAAACTACTTGTATGGGAATTATAGAATTGCAAATTAAGAGATGGATGTTTCTTCTTGTTATGCTAATCCTAATGTCTTCCTAGATCTTCCATTGATGCAACCGCTAGTGTTTTTGTTTAGCGTTTTCAGTTATAAATATTCTTCAATTGTTATTTCTTTATTAGAGTTTTGCTGTCGGGGGTATTTTGGGAAAAACTGTCATATTTGATGTTCTTGGTAATTGTTTTTTAAATTCTAGCTCATGTTTCGTTTTATAGTTTTTGATGAACAAAGACCTGCACTTGTTCAATACTTGCGTATGTTTTAGTTATACTTGAAAGACTTTGTGAACAAGTCAATCTTTCCCGTTCTTAGCCACTTGTTCTTCAATTCCTTAACATGTTGTAATTTGGTTAACTTGTATCTTGTACTACACAAAAATAAAGCTAGGATTCCCTGCAAAAGAATACAACTTAGTGATTGATACAGGAAGCGACTTGTTGTGGGTCGGTTGCAAACCCTGTCAATCTTGCCCTACATCATCCACACTACAAGTATGTTCTGATCATTTCTTATAAGGTGTGACTTTTTCAATTAACTAGTATTGGTATTTTATATATGATTTCTTTCTTTGTACAGATTCCTATTACTATCTATGATCCAGCAAACTCGTCAACATCTTCTGCTATCTTATGCTAGGACGAAAGACGTTCTCCAAAATCCAACTCATGTTCAGATAACCAATGCACCTACGATCTCCACTAAGGGGTTGGTAGTGGAACATAAGGTTATTATGTATCCGACTTGATGCATTTTAGAATAATTGTTGGCTAGACAGATTGGTTGAACACTTCAACTTCAGTTTTATTTGGGTAAGTTCTCATGTATCATCAACTATAGAATTTAATTTCTCTTCCTTCTTTTATTCTCTTTAAATAAGTTGGTTGATTTAGTGAATTTTGCATGAGCAGCTGTAGCACATCCGAAACAGGACAGATAAGTCAAACGGAAAGAACACTTGATGAGATTATGGGATTGGGCAGACAAATTATATCCGTCATTTCCCAAATTTCATCACAAGGGATTGCACCAAATTCCTTTGGACATTGTCTAGCTGGTGGTGATGGAGGTGGGATTTTGGCCTTTGGCACACCAGTCATGCCCGATCTAGTCTTCACTCCACTTGTGAAGTCAATGTAAGTTTTTATTTTCTTTATATTTATTTATTAATGTGAGATGGCCTAATTTTATGAGACCGTGAGATGCAATCCTAGATACACATTTAGTAGATAAAACGAAAACATTTTTAAAATAAAAAAGAATTGAGAATTTTCGAAATAACAATTTTCCAATACTATGTTCGAAATATATTTTTTCCAAAAAAAATACCACAATAAATAAATAAAATACATTTTTTTACATGTTCTAGTAGAATATTAGAATATTCTACATATCTGGCAAATATTCTAACATTCTAAAGATCACATTAGAATATTTATAGTGTAATATTCTATTAGAATATTTCACGTGTTTTAAAAATAAAACGGGATTTTTTTTTAATTTTATTTAGTTATTTTTTCAGATAACTCAATTTCCAAAAATTATAATTAAAAAAAGAGTTTTTGGATTTTTCCTTTTGTTTTGCATTTTAAAATTATTTTTAGATTTGGTCTCATAAAATTAACATTGTCTTAACTAAACCTGAACTATATATATATATATATATATATATATATATATATATATATATATATATATATATATATATGTTTGGATTCAAAAATATATTGTGTTAGTTGTAATGTTTAGCGTATTTTCTTAATTCCGAACTTTCGACTTAGGATTCTTTCATATGCTTATTTAACAATTATATATAGGAGCGTTAGTTAGTAGAACGGATAGTTTTTGATACAGAATAATTCCACACAACTTCTTGGAATGAATTTTTCATTCTTTCCATTAATGCAAACATATCTTATTACTTCTTTGTGTTTCTATAAACCTATATAATCTTTTGATAATGTTTACATTTTACAATTTGTCGCTCCTATAATTGTTGACAATATATATTGACAAAGATATATATATATATATATATATATATATATATATATATATATATATATATATATATATATATATATATATATGAGTAATATTTTAAAGAAATAAAATCGTAATTAAATATAGTAACTATATAAATGAGAAATGTAACTACAAAAAAGTGTAATTATAATATATCATGTAAGTTCAAACCGTGGGGCCACAACCCAATTTAGTTGAAAGAGCCCTAGTTCTATTTTTAGGATGAATATCTCAATCAGTATTTTGTAATGAAATTGATTTCATCATTGTTTACAGTTGGTTGATAGTTTTCTTCTCCATGTATATATATTTCCCCTGTAATGAAATGCACCACATGATGTTTCATTCCAACAATATTACTTATCTCTTATACGATTTTTCATTCCAACACTATTACTTTTCTCTTATATTTCTGTACGACCAATGGTTTCTTCGACAGTGTTGTGTCTAGTGTTGCTGCAGGCCGTTGGTGCTCTTGGGTTTCCGGCGACTCTGAAGCTGGAAAGATCGTTTCCCACCAACCATGGCGTTGAGTTGAAGCAACTCACGGAAAGAGATGGTTTAAGACACCATAGAATACTACACAAGTATGCTGATCCAAATGTGGTTGTTGGATTTGAAGTATATGGAACCTATGATCCTTTTGATGCTGGGTACGTACACCAACTTTTGTTGAGTATTTAACCATATCATAGTAAACATAAAACTTATTTACAATACATGGTAGTTTCAAATATATTTACCAAAAACAGTGAATTAGTTCCGAACCAATATTTTTTAATTTTTATATTACAAAAGTAAGTAAAGAAACTAGACCGCCGGTCCCTTCATCTTCCTCCTATTCCGTCGTCGTCTTAAGTTTTCTTTATCGCCGGAGTATTCATCATTTTTGTTGTTAAACTGGACCACCAATCCTTGAATCGCCTTCTTACTTGATTACTACTAATCGGTGCATAAAAAACAAGAAGTCACAGGAGACCCAGAGATACCATCATCGCCTGCATCTAATGGGTTACAATACAAAATGAAACTTGTTCTTTTTATTTTTTTTAATTGGAATATGACGTCTATTAATCATTTAATCATGACAGTTTTGAGATGTTTACCGAAGGAATGTTCTTTGTAGAAATCCTAAAACTACTTGTATGGGAATTATAGAATTGCAAATTAAGAGATGGATGTTTCTTCTTGTTATGCTAATCTAATGTCTTCCTAGATCTTCCATTGATGCAACCGCTAGTGTTTTTGTTTAGCGTTTTCAGTTATAAATATTCTTCAATTGTTATTTCTTTATTAGAGTTTTGCTGTCGGGGGTATTTTGGGAAAAACTGTCATATTTGATGTTCTTGGTAATTGTTTTTTAAATTCTAGCTCATGTTTCGTTTTATAGTTTTTGATGAAAAATGACCTGCACTTGTTCTATACTTGCATATGTTTTAGTTATACTTGAAAGACTTTGTGAACAAGTCAATTTTTCCCGTTCTTAGCCACTTGTTCTTCAATTCCTTAACATGTTGTAATTTGGTTAACTTGTATCTTGTACTACACAAAAATAAAGCTAGGATTCCCTGCAAAAGAATACAATTTAGTGATTGATACAGGAAGCGACTTGTTGTGGGTCGGTTGCAAACCCTGTCAATCTTGCCCTACATCATCCACACTACAAGTATGTTCTGATCATTTCTTATAAGGTGTGACTTTTTCAATTAACTAGTATTGGTACTTTATATATGATTTCTTTCTTTGTACAGATTCCTATTACTATCTATGATCCAGCAAACTCGTCAACATCTTCTGCTATCTTATGCTAGGACGAAAGATGTTCTCCAAAATCCAACTCATGTTCAGATAACCAATGCACCTACGATCTCCACTAAGGGGTTGGTAGTGGAACATAAGGTTATTATGTATCCGACTTGATGCATTTTAGAATAATTGTTGGCTAGACAGATTGGTTGAACACTTCAACTTCAGTTTTATTTGGGTAAGTTCTCATGTATCATCAACTATAGAATTTAATTTCTCTTCCTTCTTTTATTCTCTTTAAATAAGTTGGTTGATTTAGTGAATTTTGCATGAGCAGCTGTAGCACATCCGAAACAGGACAGATAAGTCAAACGGAAAGAACACTTGATGAGATTATGGGATTGGGCAGACAAATTATATCCGTCATTTCCCAAATTTCATCACAAGGGATTGCACCAAATTCCTTTGGACATTGTCTAGCTGGTGGTGATGGAGGTGGGATTTTGGCCTTTGGCACACCAGTCATGCCCGATCTAGTCTTCACTCCACTTGTGAAGTCAATGTAAGTTTTTATTTTCTTTATATTTATTTATTAATGTGAGATGGCCTAATTTTATGAGACCGTGAGATGCAATCCTAGATACACATTTAGTAGATAAAACGAAAACATTTTTAAAATAAAAAAGAATTGAGAATTTTCGAAATAACAATTTTCCAATACTATGTTCGAAATATATTTCTTCCAAAAAAAATACCACAATAAATAAATAAAATACATTTTTTTACATGTTCTAGTAGAATATTAGAATATTCTACATATCTGGCAAATATTCTAACATTCTAAAGATCACATTAGAATATTTATAGTGTAATATTCTATTAGAATATTTCACGTGTTTTAAAAATAAAACGGGATTTTTTTTTAATTTTATTTAGTTATTTTTTCAGATAACTCAATTTCCAAAAATTATAATTAAAAAAAGAGTTTTTGGATTTTTCCTTTTGTTTTGCATTTTAAAATTATTTTTAGATTTGGTCTCATAAAATTAACATTGTCTTAACTAAACCTGAACTTATATATATATATATATATATATATATATATATATATATATATATATATATATATATATATATATGTTTGGATTCAAAAATATATTGTGTTTAGTTGTAATGTTTAGCGTATTTTCTTAATTCCGAACTTTCGACTTAGGATTCTTTCATATGCTTATTTAACAATTATATATAGGAGCGTTAGTTAGTAAAACGGATAGTTTTTGATACAGAATAATTCCACACAACTTCTTGGAATGAATTTTTCATTCTTTCCATTAATGCAAACATATCTTATTACTTCTTTGTGTTTCTATAAACCTATATAATCTTTTGATAATGTTTACATTTTACAATTTGTCGCTCCTATAATTGTTGACAATATATATTGACAAAGATATATATATATATATATATATATATATATATATATATATATATATATATATCTAGTAATATTTTAAAGAAATAAAATCGTAATTAAATATAGTAACTATATAAATGAGAAATGTAACTACAAAAAAGTGTAATTATAATATATCATGTAAGTTCAAACCGTGGGGCCACAACCCAATTTAGTTGAAAGAGCCCTAGTTCTATTTTTAGGATGAATATCTCAATCAGTATTTTGTAATGAAATTGATTTCATCATTGTTTACAGTTGGTTGATAGTTTTCTTCTCCATGTATATATATTTCCCCTGTAATGAAATGCACCACATGATGTTTCATTCCAACAATATTACTTATCTCTTATACGATTTTTCATTCCAACACTATTACTTTTCTCTTATATTTCTGTACGACCAATGGTTTCTTCGACAGTGTTGTGTCTAGTGTTGCTGCAGGCCGTTGGTGCTCTTGGGTTTCCGGCGACTCTGAAGCTGGAAAGATCGTTTCCCACCAACCATGGCGTTGAGTTGAAGCAACTCACGGAAAGAGATGGTTTAAGACACCATAGAATACTACACAAGTATGCTGATCCAAATGTGGTTGTTGGATTTGAAGTATATGGAACCTATGATCCTTTTGATGCTGGGTACGTACACCAACTTTTGTTGAGTATTTAACCATATCATAGTAAACATAAAACTTATTTACAATACATGGTAGTTTCAAATATATTTACCCAAAAACAGTGAATTAGTTCCGAACCAATATTTTTTAATTTTTATATTACAAAAGTAAGTAAAGAAACTAGACCGCCGGTCCCTTCATCTTCCTCCTATTCCGTCGTCGTCTTAAGTTTTCTTTATCGCCGGAGTATTCATCATTTTTGTTGTTAAACTGGACCACCAATCCTTGAATCGCCTTCTTACTTGATTACTACTAATCGGTGCATAAAAAACAAGAAGTCACAGGAGACCCAGAGATACCATCATCGCCTGCATCTAATGGGTTACAATACAAAATGAAACTTGTTCTTTTTATTTTTTTTAATTGGAATATGACGTCTATTAATCATTTAATCATGACAGTTTTGAGATGTTTACCGAAGGAATGTTCTTTGTAGAAATCCTAAAACTACTTGTATGGGAATTATAGAATTGCAAATTAAGAGATGGATGTTTCTTCTTGTTATGCTAATCCTAATGTCTTCCTAGATCTTCCATTGATGCAACCGCTAGTGTTTTTGTTTAGCGTTTTCAGTTATAAATATTCTTCAATTGTTATTTCTTTATTAGAGTTTTGCTGTCGGGGGTATTTTGGGAAAAACTGTCATATTTGATGTTCTTGGTAATTGTTTTTTAAATTCTAGCTCATGTTTCGTTTTATAGTTTTTGATGAACAAAGACCTGCACTTGTTCAATACTTGCGTATGTTTTAGTTATACTTGAAAGACTTTGTGAACAAGTCAATCTTTCCCGTTCTTAGCCACTTGTTCTTCAATTCCTTAACATGTTGTAATTTGGTTAACTTGTATCTTGTACTACACAAAAATAAAGCTAGGATTCCCTGCAAAAGAATACAACTTAGTGATTGATACAGGAAGCGACTTGTTGTGGGTCGGTTGCAAACCCTGTCAATCTTGCCCTACATCATCCACACTACAAGTATGTTCTGATCATTTCTTATAAGGTGTGACTTTTTCAATTAACTAGTATTGGTATTTTATATATGATTTCTTTCTTTGTACATATTCCTATTACTATCTATGATCCAGCAAACTCGTCAACATCTTCTGCTATCTTATGCTAGGACGAAAGACGTTCTCCAAAATCCAACTCATGTTCAGATAACCAATGCACCTACGATCTCCACTAAGGGGTTGGTAGTGGAACATAAGGTTATTATGTATCCGACTTGATGCATTTTAGAATAATTGTTGGCTAGACAGATTGGTTGAACACTTCAACTTCAGTTTTATTTGGGTAAGTTCTCATGTATCATCAACTATAGAATTTAATTTCTCTTCCTTCTTTTATTCTCTTTAAATAAGTTGGTTGATTTAGTGAATTTTGCATGAGCAGCTGTAGCACATCCGAAAAGGACAGATAAGTCAAACGGAAAGAACACTTGATGAGATTATGGGATTGGGCAGACAAATTATATCCGTCATTTCCCAAATTTCATCACAAGGGATTGCACCAAATTCCTTTGGACATTGTCTAGCTGGTGGTGATGGAGGTGGGATTTTGGCCTTTGGCACACCAGTCATGCCCGATCTAGTCTTCACTCCACTTGTGAAGTCAATGTAAGTTTTTATTTTCTTTATATTTATTTATTAATGTGAGATGGCCTAATTTTATGAGACCGTGAGATGCAATCCTAGATACACATTTAGTAGATAAAACGAAAACATTTTAAAATAAAAAAGAAT